GCATACATCAGGGTAGTTAGTACCACCGCTCAGTAGACTTTGAGCTTTGTAGCAAGGCTTATTCCACAGCGGTCCCCCACGTTGGTCGCAGAGTTTGCCTTGATGACTCTGCAGTTGACCTCAATGTCAATTGTCACTGCACGGGAGAGGGTGCTGCCATTTTCCCCTAAGATAAACCACAGATAAGAGGTAAAAACATAGAAGAGGTCATGTTTCCAGAATATTACCAAAAAAAAGCAAATGTGGGTTATTTGTATATGAACTGTTTCATATACATATTCACATCTAAAATACATATTCTCAGATGTGAATGAGAAATATTAAAGTGTAGAGGTGTGATTACTATCCTGGAATAGGTGGTGAAATTTAATCTAATGATGGGCCTCCGTACTGACCTCCCCGACCCATATGCCATGTTGTGATAACAAGTTAGGAAAAGTTCTAAGTAGTCAACAATCTAGTAATAAAGAAGCCAATTCTACCAGCTAATTAGAAACCTATAAAAGTTACCCTAATGAAGAAGAAAAAGATCCTTAACCAATATGAACCAAACATTATTCCTAATTCCCTTAAATAGCAACCAGTGAATAAATTAAAAATGACTTGAGGTGAACCTGATACTAAATATTGTTTTGAAATCTTTTGATGACATCAATCCTCAGACTTTTGCATGACCTCCATTATTGCAAGACTGTTTTCTTGCAAGACTAGAGAGTGTAAAGTTGCCTTTTCATTCTTCCACAATTCTTCCACCTTCACAATAGTGGATCCTGGAGACTAGGGAGTTCATTTCCATTAAACTGTAACAGGAAACCTATTATGGGATCATTTAAAAGGGATGCATCAAATTATCCCAATTCCACTTAATTTATGGACCATGAGTTGTACAAATATGAACACTATTTATAATTTTAGCTACAGCACTCATTCAAGGTTGGAGCCACACATGATATGTTAAGAAAATTCAGATGTGTGTTTTAATAGCATCGGCAGGTGAAGAAAAGCCGTTTACATTTTTAAACTCCAGAACTGGGAGAAACACCATATAAGTTTTAAATGCATTTCTTGTACATAAATAACCTTTAAAGTCAACAGGACAACATGAATAATGGAGGGGTAATTATAGAAACAGTGGCAAAGGGAACATCTTGAAGGACTTTAATGGTTGGGAAATTGAGCTATTAGCAACAATTAAGGGCAGTGCTCCAAATAGACACAATAGTTCATGATCCTTATTGAGTTACAGACCTTTAACAAGTCTTGAAAAGTGTAAATAAGAAGAAATTCAAGTAATTTTTTTTCTCCTAGTCAGGTAAAGTCGATCTTAATTGAGTGCCATCTGAAAGACTTAATTTCTAAACTATCTCCTAAGTGGCAAGGAAGGATCCAATAATGTTGAAGATGTGTTAAAGTAACCATGGGAAAGGAAGGAGGAAAATTCAAAGATAGAGGAATAAGGCAGAAGAATAACACAGAGGTAAGTTTGTTCTTCTCTAAAATCCAAATAAATATAGCAATGCAAGTAGCACAGCAATGGGAAAAAAGATAAAACAAGGGAAAGTGAAGCTTTCCTTCTTAAAGCTACAATAGCAAGAATAAAATCTAACTGCTTTAAATGTAATTTAAATTCTGCTAAATGTAACTGCTTTAAAAAGCAGAAATATAACTTTTCTACAGCACTTGCCTCATTTATAGAGTAGAAGGTGTTTCAAATACTTCTCTAGGTGTTTTGTTTCTTCAAAAAAAATTATGTTTCCATATGCTGCTGAGCACAATCAAATGGGTAACCCTATCCATTTTAATTGTGGGATGCCAGTAGACAAAGCCAAGGAATTTTCTAATATAAACAAAAAGATATAAAGGAATTCTAGATAGTGTCTTCCCATAAGATGATATTATAGCATTGACTAGTGAATGAACCAAAGGCCAAGAAGAGGCCAGGCTACATAGGAGCGGGAAAGGATTTTCTTTCTTCATCAAGAGATTATGGTTTGAGCCTAAAATGAAAAATGAAACAGAGGAAAGACTGCTGATTTATCCATTACAAGAAATGCATAAACTTTATCATGTCTTATTTTGTGTGTGTCTTATAATTGCCCTTTTGAAACAATAGATATTGTCCTGCACTGGTTCCCTATTACCTTTATACAGCCACTGAACTTTGGAAGACTTCTGCATCATGCACAGAAGGTATTCTGGTGTTCTCTGAACAATTCTATTTACAAGCTGGTTGATTCCTATATCACACGGGTGTCCAACTCGTCACATCACATTGCCATCACGTGATGTTTCGTGATGTTTTTCCCATTCACAGAGCTGGGGTGGCCTGTGCATGATGCAGAAGTCTTCCAAAGTTCAGTGGCTGTATAAAGGTAATAGGGAACCAGTGCAGGACAATATCT